AAAAATAATAGGTATTTGCTTTTGAAATTAGATATTGTCTGCTCAAAGCATCATCCAAGTCATTAAAGGATTCCCAGGTGCCAGTATTTGGAAAGGGTCTTAGCTATTCAAACAATTTAGGCTGAGGTCTCTGCTGTTCTCTCTCCTGGGCCATCTCAGATTTCCTCATTCTCAGCTCAGATCTGAACTCAGATGGGAAAGAAAGTTTGGAGATTTCAGATGAGTAGCATTTTTAACCCAAACATATTACTTAGTCTTGCAGTAAAGACRAGGAAAATCCTCCTTTCTTAGCTCAACTGCAGAGCTGAGTGGAGGAAGACAGTGCTTTCCCCTCCCCTGTGGAGGGGAAAGAGCAGGGAAACAGACTGCAGCAGATGCAGTAACGGGAACCCTCTTTTCCTCCTCTTTGCATATTTAAAATACCTGGCTTGACTCTATTACTGGGAAAAGAAAAAGAAACCACACAAAAAGGGTCAGCATAATGCAGCCGAGTTACTCAAGCTAAGGATTTCAGCAGCAGGCGGCAAGAGTGGATGGATCCCCACAAAGGCACAAGCCTTACTGAGGGGCGKCTGAGCTGTGTGGAGACTGCCAGGACCCCAGGGACAGCAACACAAACACCTCGCAGGGAGGACAGCTCAGGTTTAGTCTGCACTCCTCTGATGCCACCCATCCCCACCTAAGATAGTCCCTACCTCCTGCACAGCTTTAAAGATAACAGTTTTAAGCCAGTGCCTGAGACAAGAGCAGAAATTTCATGTTGAAAAATGCCATATTGAAAAAAAAAGGCATTGGAAATAGAAATCCCTATAGGAATTACTGTCTTCAATTAATGAGCCTCTCTGGACTCACCTCCCCACTTCTGCACTGGGTTCCCAGATTGTAATGCAGAAATGMTCACTCCATGGCCAGCTACCCAAAGGACCACATGCATCACCCAGATGGCTGCTGATTTGTTTCTCTGTGCCATATATGACCATGGTCATGTTTCCAAAGGCCCTAAATGATTTAGGACCTAGACATTTTTACCCAYGTTCTTCCAGCATCTCACTGCAGCAATTGCAGCTTAGAGAAATGAGCTGGGTGTCAGCTGAGCCCCTCAAATGGAGTTTGTAAGGACCAGAGATCACTGGAAGCAAAATGCAACTAGGAAAGCACCAAACCCCCAATCTGGCAATCTTAGCTGCAGTGGAACATGCCCACCCTCGTAGGATATCTGAAGTAATCTGTATTAGTGGCAATGCATACACCCATAAATTAAAGCCTCCTAAAGCCTAACTACAGTGAGGACCGTAGTTCCACAGCAGCTTCTCACTGAGCTGTTCTCCCTTTCCCAGGCTTCCCGAAGAGCATCCTCCCACACACAATGCAGGCAGTTTGACTGGCAGCCTAGTGGGTGTGAGGCCAGAGGGCTGCATCTCATTCCTCTGGATACCTGGAAGACACAAAGGAAGGTGTGTGCTCCGTTACCAGCTGCGAGAAAGGCAGCAACGCACGTGACGCCCAGGCAGGATGATATCATCAGCACATTGGTGCTTCTTACCCAGTCAACTCTTCACCTGTGCCCTGTGCCAACAGGAGTCAGGAAGATGGGGGCTGTTAGGGCTGTCATGAAAGGCMTGAAATGAAACTGAAAGACATAGAAAACTTCATGTTGCAGATGCAACAAAATTATTTGATTCTGGTGCCCGTCCTCTTTGACTAGGGCAGGATAACTATTCCTGCTTTTTTTCTTCTGGACGTATTTACCTGTCCATGCCATGTCAAAGAGAGTCTCTAGGGAAAGCCACCCCACGGATTTCCTCTTTATCTTGGCACAGCTGTTCCCATCCTGACCTCCTAGCCCAACTTTGTGCTAGCTTGTTACTTGAGAGCGCTACCACGATTGGGACTCCAGATGTGGGCAAACCCCAGCCCGCAGGACACAAAGCACTTCTGCTCCTTCCTCTCCAAATCGCTCCGTACCAGCGCACGGCTAACTCAGGTGTCGCTTAGTGACAATGGCATTAGGCCTGGACAAGTCCAAAAAACAGTTTTTCCTTCTAACAGTTTCCAACCAAAGTGTTCCCATAGTTTTTCCACATACAGTATAATCCTGAAGAGAGAGGAAAGTGCCTCCACTATAAGAAACAGGGGCATTCCTGGTTCCTTCTATTGCTGTTCAAGCTTTACGCAGCTCCAGTTCCTTATTTTATGCTCAGCATGGCTCAAGGTTTCACCTCACAGATCTTGAAGTTTATTCAACTGTTTATCACTCACAATCTCCTCCCCTTCAGTTATACAGCCATCTATCATGCCTTCCTTATTGAGAAGCCCTCTGAACTTCCTTTTGTTTACTATGTTTTATTGCCACATCTACCATATCCAGCAGTGATGTGCACGCAAGAAAAAAAAAAAAAAAAAGGGCATTCAGAGCATTCAGAGTATTTCTGAAGCCAGTGAAGTCTGAACTTTTGAGGTAATCAGGAGGAAGATCTGACTTAGCACATTAGAGAGGATTAAACCCTATGTGCATTTTGCTCCACGAGCATGAACTTCAGACTGTCCTCACCATAGGAAGAAGTGTCAAGGATCATAGGTAGGAGCACAGCCTAYGGGCAATGATGGCCTAGTAGGCCCCAGGATGATGTTACATCTATCCTGAAAGACTCAGCCTTCATAATCTGCCTTTAGAGCAGCCTTCATAATCTGTGCCAATAGAAAAGTGACATGCATTAGGCCACTGGCTCACTAGTTGCTTTTCTTCTGTGTGAGGATAAAGAAGAATATGAAGGAAGATGAGCTAATTTCCTACTATTGCACTAAAGGCATTTCCAAATGCTTTATGAAGCAGTGCAAGGCATACAGCAACCATTGAGCACTGAGCAGTAACCTATACACATCCAATGGTTGAATCAAGATGTTGGACCATACAGATGGCTCTGTGAGCCTCAGGATCTTGCCCGTGCTGAATGCCAGGGAACTCGAGTTTGACTCCTCTCCCCAAAGGATGCCAGTTCTAATGTGGCAACAGGGCTGAATGGAGAGGAGGTTACACGATGTGGCTTGTAGGTACGTGTCCATCCTGGATGGAGCCAGGAGCACTTGGTGCTCCAACAAGAGACTGCTGTGCCCTGCCGGACCACAGGACCTTCCCTCCCCGATGAGGAAAAGCCGCCTAACCAGACACCACCCGGATGATGCTTCCTGCCTATGTATTTCCCTCCTGGCTGCCTGACTCCTGAGCTGCTTCTTGGTTGGGCAGCTGATGGGCGAAACTGCTTTCAAACTGTTTAATAACAGTGATGGTAACCTCTGACCTTGCTGAATGGCACCGCTTTTGACCTTTCATTTGTTAAATAATACAACCACTTACTTCCCGATCCTTATCGGCATTTAGTAATTGGGGTCAAGACAAAGCAAGGCAGAGTACAGTTACCCACCAGACTTTACCAAGCCAGGACGAATTTCCTTAAGCTATAGATTTCCTTTATGATAATCTTCAGTCAAGACAGGCAAAGACTGGAGACTGGGTGGCTTAGAAGATCCGTAACAGGCTAAAGAACCTCTCAGCCATCAGCATCTGGTTTGAATCCAGTTGTGGTTGACAGTGGCAGACATTCATTAGGGTCTCAGGTTGCCTCTCTGGCTTGCATGCAATGAGTTTGGGTTGCAGGTACAGTGTTTACTGGCCCAATAGCTGTATTGTAAAATAGCAGTGCAAGGGTTGGTTGTAAAAACATCCGTGATCACATGAACTTGCAAAGCCTGAACACTCCTAATACCGCAGGGAAAATCACAGCAAGACACAGGGAGAGGTGACAGCAGAGGCAACAAGTGTGTGGTCACCCCTGCATGCGGATCTGTGTGATCCACCTTGAAGAGAATGCAGATCCCCCGTCAGGAATGTGCATCGCTTTTCCTGAGATTTAAGTGAAATTAATGGGTGCAATTGCATGCTGTCCATCTCATTCAATATCCCACTTGGCAGAAACACAGGTGACAACTGCTACATGCAGCAACCTCAAGATGGATGAGCGTTTGCCTTGGATGTGAATGGGAAAGAGATGAAAAGAAATGCAAGGATTTATGACTTGATAGTGTATTATATGTGTATGTGTACAATATATGTATAAATGAATACATACTGATGCGATGCACAGATATAGAACTTTAAATTTCMTGAAGACATCAGACAAAGGCTTTATTTGACCAAGTAGGTTCACACTCTTATTTATTATTTAAGGAGTTTGCATTGAGCTAGACTGCGAGGTTTTTGGGACAGGAACTGTTTAGTGTCTGTCTGTCTGTGATGCAGCAAAATAGGGTGCAGCAAAATAGGGTCAGACCTGTGTTCTGACTGTTGGCATTTAAAAATAAAAAATAATCTATTTATAGGTAGGCAGGAGCCAAATAGCAAGACCTGTATAATGACACAGCAAGCAGTGAGATTCGTTTATTTTTTTTTTGCTGTTGCTTGTGTGGGAAGCAGGGAATAGAGGCCCCCAGGCAGCGCCCCAGCCAGGGCACAACCACCCTGCGGGTCTGGGGGCTGATCTGCAGGCCTGGGGCTCCAAAGGCAAGGGGGCCAGGCCGACCTCCCTGCTTCCTCACAGGGCTTGGCTCACGGTGGCACAGCGGGCACCGGAGCAGCACTCCCGGGCCGCGCTCTCCCGCGCCCCTAATTCCCTAGGGGAAGGGGGTCCCCGAACGGGAGGCGGCGGCTCCCCGGGTGGGTGTGACGGAGGGTCTCTCGGCCCCAAGCCCCGCGGCCGCCATTACAGGGCCCGGGGCCGCCCGCCCGCCACACTCTTTGCCATGGCAACGGGGACGGTGAGGCGGGACCCGCCGTTGCCATGGCGACGCCGCCTCGCCCCCGCTCCATCCCGCCCCCCCCCGCGCGTTGCCATGGCCCCCGAGCTTGATTGACGTTCCGTCTCTCCCCCCCCCTCCCCGACCCCCCAGCGGAAGTGAGCGGTCACGTGCGGCCGCGGCGCCGGTTGCGCGGCGCCGCGGCCGCCATGGAGGCGTCGTGTCTGGGCGCGGCGCTGGAGCTCGTGTCGAGCGGCGGCGCGGGGCTGAGCCCCGAGAAACGCGCCGCGCTCGGCGCCTCGCTGCCCCTCCTGCGCCGCGACTACCGCTTCCAGCGCGTCTGGTTCTGGGGCCGCATCCAGGGCCTCCGCGGCGCCTACTATGTCGCCGAGGGGCTGGGCGCCGACCTCGCCGCCCCCCGCAGCCGCCTCTACAGGTGCGGGGGCAACGGGGAGGGCCGGGGGGTCCTGGCTGGGCCGCCCCGCGCCTCACGGGCCTTGTCCTGCTTGTCGCTGACAGCTTGAACTGCGTGGAGTGGAACCTGCTGCCGCCCGCGAGCGGGGAAATGGTGGCGCGGKCCGAGGCGCTGAAGGGCCGCTTCCAGGGGGATCCCTCCTTTGAGTACGAGCTCGGCGAGGCCAAGGCGGAAGACGAGGAAAAGTTGCCCGAGGATGGGCAGGAGGTATAAATGCGACGCAGGTCTCTGAAGTCTCCTCGCTGCTCCCCGTTTGCGCTGAGCGCATGAGAACTGCTGCTCATCCGTTGTAATGGGCAGCTGATGTGGCACAGAAACAGTCCAATTCCCRCCCATTTCTTCACTGACATTTCATCTGGGCCATTCCAGGCAAAATCTCCCACTCACGAGTGGCTCTTCCTTCAGAACTGGGGCTCATTTGCCTTGGTACCGCCACCGACTGTTGCCCTGAGAGTTGGGAAAGGCTGGGTCAGTGYGAGTCTGCCCTGTCCCACATCCATTAAGGGCTATCCCTGTGGCCTGTTCTCCAGTCTCTAGAGCACTAGCTGCAGCTCCTTCTAAAAGACCTGCCCTCCAGGGCGCCCCTGTTCACGTGAGGCAGAGTACACACAGCTTCTTCCCGTCCTCCTGTGCAGGCAGCTGCAGCTTCCTGACTCGGCTCTTCCTTCAGGCAGTCCTGGAGTTAAACATGGCTCAGGAATGGTCTTAGTCTCTCTCCTATATGGACAGCTGGCACAGACCCTCACTGCAGTGTCTGAGGCTTTATACAGGAATCGCAGATACCTTTTCCTTACAACTGAATAGAGGGGTTACAAGTAGGTTAACTGAGGAGAAAGGATGGATGAAGGSAGGGACAGTCAGTTCCACAGTGAGTCTAGAATGTCTTTTTGTAGCCACGTTTTTTGTCATATCTCATGAGAAGAGCTTTTGATTAATGACCATCCTTCAAGCTGATGAGTCTGCTGTGATTTCTRTTGTCACCTTGAGTTTATTTTCAGTGCAGAAATCAAGGAAAGCCCTGCCTTTAATATATACCTATTTTTCTTTAAAGCTCGTGATCAAGGAAGAGATCCGCCTTGTAGCTACGATAGAACAGATAGATAAAGCAGTTGGTATCATCCCCCGGGGTTCATTTGTGAAGACACCCCTGGGGCCTGTGCATGAAAACAGAAACTTTGAAGGTAAATTCTCATCGTCTTTATCAGCTTCAGCAGTACTTTGGTTGTAAAGGCTGCAAACAGAGATGACTCTCTCTAGCTGATTATTTGATTTCAATTTTTCTTTTTCTTCCCCCTGAGTTAGATGAAAAGTGAGGGAAGAATCCAGTGCCACTGGTGCAGCTTTTGTTCATGCTGTAGAGCTGTGACTGTGGYCAGGTTCAGGTGCACGATTCAACCCTGGAAGGTGGGAGGAGAGACACTAATGGCTTTGAGTCATTTAGCACATAGTCTCGTGTCTGTGTACAGTTTGTGCCAGTGTTTAGCAGTAACTGCAGTGGGAAGACTATTCTCCCATCTCCGTACAGGATGTAGCCAAGTGGGTACAGAGAGCTGGTCTTGACTGATCACCCTTGGTTTAGCTGCACTGCAGAGCCCAGCATCAGTGTGCACTGTCACCCATTTCTGGCAAGTCTTTGGGCTTCTATGGGTCCACTGGAAAAAGATTGTGGTTCTGTCCTGCACTCCGTGCTTTAGAGGAAATATTATTGTCAGATATTGTGTAATATAATGTCTGTTAGCCCACCTCTCTGTGTTAATACTCACCTGTTTGCAGGTCTTTCTTTGACGGAGGCAAAAAAGTTAAGTTCCTATTTTCATTTGGCTGAGCCTGTTAACCTGAAGAATAAAACACTCCTGGAAAAGGCTGACCTGGACCCATCTACAGACTTTCTGGACTCTCTGGAGCATGATATCCCAAAAGGTAAAGAGCAGTGTCAGCAGATGGAATGAAAGCGAGTCTGGAAAGCACCGGGTAGCCAGTGTTCCTGTGGAGCCCGTGTGCTTGGGAGAAGCTCCTCTACAGGAACTTTTTTTCTGGAAACTTGTACTTGATTTCTAAGTGCTTCAGGGTTGTCATATCCTTACAACAGGTTCTTTTCTGACCATAACCCCAGTTCCCCTGTCTGCCAGGGTGCCACGTTTCTCCCTGACTGCAGTGAAGTCTGTGACAGCTGGTGCCTCCATGGGGGGAGATAACTCCACTAGTGGTTGAGGGAATTTATGTGGTTTAAAGTATTTCACACCTCCCATCCCCCCCAGTATTGCTCTCTTTTATCTAAATGGGCTCTCATTAACACTAAACTGTTATCTCTGAGAGGCTGAATTCAAGCTTTCCTCAGATAAACTGTGCTAGAAATGCCATAATGGAATAGTCTATGCTCCAGCAGCATTACACAGTGGAAGGAGAATGGAGGACATGTAGCGTGTCTTCAGTCCATGTTCTTCCTGGTCTACCAGACAACTGTTATATCCTTTTTTTTTTTTTTTTTTTTTTAAAGCCTCCAAGGGACAACTCTGACAGGATGTTGCTTTAAAGAGATGTTAGCAGATTGGATTTATGTGGCTATTTTGCTGTGGAGCTTGGAGTGGGATCCAGTTTCTCATTCAGAGAGGAAGTCTTTATATATCTCACCAGTCTGTGGATACGTTTCTTGTTACTGCAGTATCTATATATGGAACATGCATAATTCTACAGAAGAGCATTACACTTATAAAGTAGAAATGATTTTCTGTTTGTTTCTGACTGTATTTCGCTGATTTGCTGTCTTTTTCTGTTTGGAACAAAGAAGTTCCACATCCTGCTGTCTAGAAAGACTTTGGGACACAGTTAGGTTTGTTGTTTTACTCCAGTCCTTCAGTACCTCTCAGTGACAGACAGAACTGGCTGGAAGGAATGAGAACTGTCAGTGCCGTAAAGGGCTTTCTAGACTTTATCCATTTATATACATAAAATACATATATGTATTTAATATTAATTTTATATATAAATACCCTCTCTCTATATATAAATATAAATACCCATGTTTGTCCAATTTGTCCAAACTTTCCTTTGCCAGAAAGAACTGTGAAAGAATCTAATGAATTCAGGTTTGAATTCTGAACTTGTTTTTACTCAGAACAGTTTAAAAAACATGTTAAAATGAAAACCATTATTCAGCTTCTTGGGAGTGCCCTTGCTACAGTCATTTTCCAGAGGTGTGGTCTGGGAGATTGCACATTTTTACATACAGTGGCTCCAAGTTAGCCCGTTTGACGCAAAAAGGATTATTGGGCTCCTACAAGTGGGCTCCTACACACCTCCTAAACAATTCCTGGTGGTGGCTTCATGTGGCACCGTTTTTGGTTTTTTTCCTTTTTTTTTTTTTTTTTTTTTTTTTTTTTTTTTTTTTGTGATAAGGAAGGTGATTAGTTTTGTGAGGCCTGAAGTCACAGAGCCCCTGCAGCAAGAGAAGAATCTGTAGTGTTCCTAGAAGGCAAGAGGCACCAGGGGCGAAGAGACTGGAAGCTGATTTACATCTCGGAGCTGTTTGTAGCTGCCCTCCGCTGTGACTTGCAATAATGTARTGGCAGCTTCAAAAGACTGCAGATCTTATACTGCAGTTTTCCGTGTGGTTCAAAGGACTAGGCTACTGGTASGTCATGTGGGGAATTGGACAGGCCTGAAAGACTCCCACAAAGTCATGTTCAAAACTTGCAGCTATGTTTTACTTAGTGGCATACAGAAAACAAAACAAAACACTGTCGTATTTGGCTTCCTGTAGCAACCTGAGGTCAGTGGAAGTGGGAACCTTGGCCCCCTCTTCAGAGAAGGCTCTTAGTGCAGATCATGGTCTATAACAAAGTTCCTTTTCAAAGACTACCCAAGATCAAGTGCAATCTTAGTGGAAGAGTAAAAGATTGATAATGTGCACGCACAGCTCTGGCTCCAGTGCCCTGCTCTTTTTGGACTGGAAGTGGGGATTGATGGGATGAACTTGGCAGGCTAAGGAAGCAAGTCAGGAACTGATTACAAGGTCARCAAGACATGTAGCCTCTCTAATTGCTTTCTATCGCATGCAGATAGGAGATCTGATGTTAAGAAAGAAAAWCCCACCTGTTTAGTGAGCACTGAGGTTGCCGAAAATATTGGTTGCTTGTGAAAATGGAAAAAGGAACAGAGGGCAGAGACAGGTTTTGTGTTGATTTTTATCAGCCCAGCTCTGCCAAAGCTACTCATTCCTGGTTGCAAGGAATTCAGACTTTGGTTCTTGGATCTCCTTCCTTCAGCCCTCCTGCTTTACGTTAGTCCTGATCCACAGCAACAGTGTTCTGCCTTGACTTGCACGTTGTACATAACTCAAGCAAATCCCTCATTTTGGCCTGAAGCGTTTCYTGCCTTTCCTGGCTAAAGCTTTCCTCGAGCAGCTCTTGTCAGAGCTGATGCAGGAATTTCCAAAAGCATCACTGCATCCAGGACTGTGATTGCATCCAGAGCTGACTCTGCCCTTGGCAAATACACAAAGAATGGACCACTGGGTAACCATGATGTTTCCAGCCTGTGCTGGCCCTTAGAATTCTCCAAGCATCTTAGAAGACCTAAAGAACAAGACTGAGAAATGAAAGACTGCTTTTCCTGTCTAGAATTAACAACTCTATTGGAGTAGTTTTCTTATTAATTGGAGACTGAGCATTTGCGATGGCTGTCAAAGAGGGAACCGTCCTAAAATGTACCATGTGTCATTGTAGGAGAGCAGAGGTGTCTTCCTGAATGGAAAGCTGGAGGCAGAGAGAAGGTTTTGTATGACAGCTGAGAGGKGGGAAGAAAGGAAGTTAAAACTGTGTTGAATAAAGGATGCAATGGTAAAAGCAAGGAGTTTAGTACAAGATTGAAACGACTCRGATTTTATAACAAAACTGTCTGCCATCCTTATCTTTACAAGTGATATCTATGGTGATCGCACGTTCCAGATTCTGTCTCTGTGTCTATCTATCTGGTTATCTCTGTGTTTTAAGAGTTCAGAATATGTTGCTACTCCTCCTCTCTGTTTTTTCTTAGCATCTCAGCTCCCAGAAGCAAGCGATTAGGTGAGAATCTTAGCTTTTATTTAAAAAAATACATTTTATTCCCAATTGCAGAAGAAAGAGGGAGAATGAGAGACCTCTAAAATCTTCTGTTCTCTGAGGCAAACTCATGAATTGGAGCAGTCTGAGTCATAATTTTTGAACATGGAGGGCTTGAGATACTGATCTTCTGTCACCACTGTACCGCTTCATCCTGATCCAAATGGCCAGCTGGCCACAACACTGCACGCTGGGATCTGTAGGTTTTGCTGGCCATATGTCTGCACTGCAGATAAGCCTGTTTGCTCTAGTCTGAGCAGACAATCTGCTCAACTTTATGCACAATTAAATGGAGCCTTTGAGCTGGCAGATTGCCAGCACGGGCCTTTCTGTCGCATGGAGTTTGTCACTCTGGCCAATAGCATTTTAGGGACTAGAGTTGGGGCTGTTTTTCACGTGCTTGTAAATAACGGAATGAAATTTGGCAAAGTAAATGGCAATAATTGCTAGCACGCCTGCAGCATTTTCACTTGACCTAATGTGTAGATATGAAATAGTAGACGTTTAACAGGCATGGACATGATAGGGAAGAGAAAATGGAGGTGGGTGGAGGACTTTACTGTGACCACAGCATCAGATCCGGCAGTGCTTCATCTGGAAAAGGAAGGATTGGAGAAAGCAGGAGAAAGCATCAAGTACTAGTGCAGAATGGAAAGCTTGGGAGGAAATAAGAGGTGGAGAATTCAGTTTCTTGTTGCTTTCTAAGTACAGTTTAGAAAGGCATTAAGCTGTCTCTGAAGGTTTGTTACAGATTRCTGGATCAGATAGATCACTTTGATATGGAGATAAGGGACTCCCAGCAGGGCACTGCTAAAAACCAGTGTGGGAAGGGAGGTATGTCAGAGGYAAAGGGAAAGAAAACTCTTGGTAGGAAAAGATGTTAATGGAAATAGAATTTCTATTTCTGTTCTATGAAGATTTCATTCAAATGTCATGACTCCCAGTCAGAAAATAGCTGGTTTAGTTGAAAGCTTATTATAATTCATTGGTGGATTGAGAGCAGGAATGAGAATTAAAACAATGTAAGAAAAGATGTAGAAAACTGGAAACAATTAATGATTGATACATATTACAGTTAYAATGCCTAGAAAATGACAAAGAGAGCCAGGATAATGGGGAGAAATCCATGGCTGGCTAGCTTGGCAACTGTACGAAACTTATTTTCAAGTCTATCAAAAGGAAAAGCAATRGTACTGGAAACTATTACTAAATGGTGATAGTAAAATGGCTGAAAAGAATGCAGAAGGGCAGAAATGCTGTCTCTGGTTTGTACTTCTGGTTTATATTTGCAAAGACACAGGAATATAGGCTCACATCATATGTAGACAATAAATCCATTTCAGTCATTTTTCAGACTGTTTATTAAGGGAGGTTAGAATTAGGCAAACCTTACTGAGGATCAAAAAATAAAGGCGCAGGGCTAGATAACTTGCTCCTGAAACCATTATTTTGAGAGACCATTATTTGTGGCATACTTGTGATGCTAACTTTTAATACATTCCAGCATTGCAGAAATATTCCTACAAACTGATCTTGATTAGTAGCTGTAATTCAGGAATAACTGAACGGGTGTTTCTGGAGGGATTCAGAMGGGGTTTTAGTCGGGACTAGTGTCTTGTTGATATTTTTCAAGATATTTCTAAGTGATCTAAAAGCAAAGGTGGAAAGACGAGCAGAGACAAGGAAAGGACAGCAAGAGAGTTCCAGGAAGCTGGACCTAAATGCAATGCGCTTTGATGGAGCTAACTGCAAAGTCTGTATCTAAGAGTAGTGAGGCCAAGCAGACTTTACAAACTGCGTTCTGGAAGTTGTGGCTTTGAA